TGAAAGTCAGGTAGCTTTGTAGATGGCAATAGGAGGGCCTGACTGTGACCTTGAGGGAAATAAGCATCTTACCTGTTTAAAATGTAGCTCTGTCCTGAGGCAGTGGGCTGTCCTGTGTCGCTTCTGGAGACTCAACCCAGGAGAGTGGTGGGGTCTTCCAGAAGGGCGAGAGCAGCCTTCTCGATCAGACTGTGATCAGAGAAACCAGGTGCCTCTTTCTTACCTCCATCTAGGGCCATCAGCTCAAAGAAGTGGTAGGAGGAACTCAGGGCCAGAGGAGCACAGAGGTTCCTTGGTTGGGAAATCCTTCACCCAACTGTGTTTGGGGCTCAAGCACAGGCTGCTATCTGTGCCTGGAACCTTGCCCCTTGTGTGGGAGCTCCTCATGCCGCTCTAGGAAGGCAGGTGTAAACCCTTCTGACTGCAGTTTATTGGATAGGCCTTGACCAAAATCATTGCAGCTGAGACTCCTGGGTCTGTGGCAATCCTTAATGATCATAGAAACGTGCTAGAAACTTCTGCTTCCTCCCTTCTCCCTCCTCCAGGACTGATATGGTTAAAATGTATATTTGATACACAAATGTAAAACTGAGTGAATGACAACATTGGATTAATTGAACACTAGACACTAACAATTATTGAACAACTTGAGATACTGCTGATACTTTTGAAGGAGTATCCCCTTTAATTCTTGCAGTAATCAGTTTCATGTATGTAACATTTACCATGTGCCAGCTGCCCTCCAAGTGCCTTGACTCACATTTTACAGATGTAGAAATGGAGGCACAGAGAAGTCAGTTGCCCAGAATTGCAGAGCATAAGGAGCAGAACCAGGACTCATATCCAGGCAGCCGGGCCCAAGTCTATCTTCATAACCACCACATTCTGCAGCCCCTCAACGACCCCGAGAGGTGGGGATTATGATTATCCCCTTTACACAGATCAGGAAACCAACCAAATTGCTCTTTTACTTTCAAGCATTGGCAAGTACAACTTTTTTGACCGCTCTAAACATGTTTAAGATTAAATGAATAGTATCAACTTGCAACCTTTGTGTCTGTAACATTCTTTGCCAAGAGCACTTAATCCTTACACCTCCACAGAGGTAAGCAGGTGTGGATAGTGACCTTTAATTCCCAGCAGGAATTTAAGTTTCCCAGCAGGAAATGACCTGGGACACGAAGCCAGGGCTGTTTATAAGTGGGCTGCAGCTCCCTCTACAATACGGAGGCCCTATAATTATCCGACTCAGGATGTGGAAGATGGACAGTTACTGAATGCTGGCTGCTATTTGGTAGATCCATGGGCTGCTCAGCCTGTAATGATGAGATTAGTCAACTCGGGGCTGGGCACAGTGCCAACCTCTTACCTGGGTAGCCTCTGGACAGCTTTGATCAATCAGCAGGACTGCAGCCCGAGGCTCATTTGGTACGGTTCTCTGCCTTTCAATTATGGAATGACCATAAGTGTGTGCTCCTTTGTTTTGAGAGTCTGAGGATGAAAGTGTGTCGGGCAGGTGGAAGGTGGTGTTTGAATTTTCTAGAAGTTGAATTATCTGTCTTCCAGGTTTGCACACTCTCTGCCAAGCAGTGGCTGACCAGTCAGGAGCCTTATTCATCTGATCAGTAGTGTTTCTGGAGGCACCTGGATAGGATGAACAGCACTGACCCCAACGAGGAGAGGTCCCAGCTGGTGACCTCGAATGAGTCACTGAGACTCTCAGAGCCTCTCTATGTTGAACTTTGAAAATAGTGAAGGGTCCTGTTCTACCACCTCACAGGTGATTGTGAGGATCCATTGAGATAAAAGAGAGAGGCTGCTCTGTAAACCATAAAGTAGGAGGCACGTGAGACCTGGGATCAGTGCTTGCCCATCAAGAAGACCAGTTTATCTCATCCTAGCTCTGTAGGTTTCAAAATCAGTTTTCCTTCCCTTCCTCACTGACCATAAGTCTATGGATGGCTTTTAAAATTATTTTTATTTTCATTTTTTTGAGATGGAGTCTCTGTTGCCTGGGCTGGAGGCTCACTGCAACTTCCGCCCTCTGGGTTCAAGTGATTCTCCTTCCTCAGCCTCCCAAATAACTAGGGCTATAGGCACATGCCACCACATCCAGCTATTTTTTGTATTTTTTTAAAATTTATTATTTTGAGATGGAGTTTTGCTCTACTGCCGAGACTGGAGTGCAGTGGCATAGTCTCGGATCACTGCATCCTCCACTTTCCAGGTTCAAGCAATCCTCCTGAGTAGCTGGAATTACAGGCGCCCACTCCCACACCTGGCTAATTTTTTTTTTTTTTTTTTTTTTTTGCGATCACGTCTCACTCTGTTTTCCAGGCTGGAATATAATGGCACCATCTTGGCTCACTACAACCTTTGCCTGCCAGGTTCAAGCGACTCTCCTGCCTCAGCCTCCTGAGTAGCTGGGATTATAGCCATGCGCCACCATGCCTAGCTAATTTTTGTATTTTTAGTAAAGACAGGGTTTCGCCATGTTGGTCAGGCTGATCTCAAACTCCTGACTTCAAGTGATCACCTGCCTCAGCCTCTCAAAGTGCTGGAATGACAGGCATGAGCTACTGTGTCCAGCTGATTAAAAAAAATTTTTGTTTTGAGACAGGGTTTCATTCTGTCTCCCAGGCTGGAGTGCGGTGGTGCGATGTTGGCTCCCTGCAAACTCTGCCTCCTGGGCTCAAGCGATCCTCTCACCTCAGTCTCTTGAGTAGCTGGGACTACAGGCACATGCCACTATGCCCAGCTAAGTTTTAAATTTTTTGTGGAGATGAGGTGTCACTGTATTGCCTAGGCTGGTCTCCATCTCCTGGGCTCAAGTGATCCTCCCACCTCAGCCTCCCAAAGTGCTGGGATTACAGGCATGAGCCACCGTGCCCAGCCTCCTAGGTGGTTTTAACACAACAGATTGTCCCTGAGCCCCTCCTGAGGTGTTTGTGGTGCTTGGGATTGGGGAGGAGAACCCAAGTGAAAGAAAAGGCAGGGCCCATCCATGAGCCAGTGGCCCTAACAGGGAAAGACAGAGCCCTAGAGAGCACAGCTTCAGCAGGAAGATTTCTGTTACTTTTTATTCTTAATGTTCATACAAAACGGGCACATTTGTGATGCATTTTCACAAAGTGGATACATGTGTGTCACCACTGCCTGAAACAGCACATGACCAGCCCTGCATCCCTGGAACTTCCCTGGGCCCTTCCCAGTCAGTACCACCTCTAAGGAGTCACCATCCTGAGTTCTACTACCACAAGTTAATTTGGCCTATTTTTTGTTGTTGTTGTTTGTTTTGAGATGGAGTCTCACTCTGTCTCCCAGGCTGAAGTGCAGTGGTGCAATATCGGCTCACTACAACTCCGCCTCCTGCGTTCAGGCAATTCTCCTGTCTCAGCCTCCTGAGTAGCTGGGAGTACAGGCATGTGCCACCACACCAGCTAATTTTTGTATTTTTAGTAGAGGTGGGCTTTCACCATATTTGTCAGGCTTTTCTTGAACTGCTGACCTCAAGTGATCCACCTGCCTCGGCCTCCCAAAGTGCTGGGATTACAGGCATGAGCCACCACGCTCTGCCAGTTTTGCCCATTTTTGAACTTCAAATAAATGGAATCATCCAGTGGGTACCTTTAAGCCGGGTTTTTTTCACTTGACGCTGTGTGTGTGAGATTTTCCTTGTTAACACAAGTAGCTGTAACTCACTCATTCTCATTGCTCTAGGTAGAATTCCATTGTGGGACAAGGTGACAACTTATCTGTTCTAATGATAGGCCTTGGGGAGCATCCAGTTTGGGGTGTGCTATGAATATTCTAATGCATGTGCCTTGGTGAACATCCACACACATTCTTTTGGGTGTGGAGTTGGGAGCAGAACAACAGGATTGGAGGGTGTGCACCTGTTTGGCTTAAATAGATACCCAGGAAGGATTTAAGCAAGGTGTTAGGAAGAACTTCTGGACCCTAAAGGTTGTGGCCAACTAACCCATGCCCAAGAGGCAGAAGCTGTGAAATTTCCTTCTGGGGAATGGGAGGAAGAGGCTGGATTAGATGCTGCTGAGTGCTGCGGGGGGTGGAGGGCAGTCCTTGACTCCTTCCTGTCTGGCTTTGGCTTTGGTCCCCTGTCTTTAGTCTGGGGTTTCCAGACTGTACTCCCCAGAGGTGTCTCAGCCATGTGAGAGGATGAGGAAGGAGATTTGAGCGTCATTTCCCTGCTTCAGCCAAAGGGCTCTGTGTGTTCCGTTTCAGGTCGTGGGGGTTCTGAGAATGACTTATTTACTTTTTGAAAAAGTTTTAGCTGTTTCGACATTTGAAAATCCACTGCCCATAGGTCCCTTCCAGCTGGAAGATTCTGTTTTGGAAGCAGGAGGTGGGTGTGGGAAGGGTTAAGCATTATTCAACTAAAGTGCAGAGTTGAGCCTCGGTGACCTTTTAAAATTCTTGTAGTGTGGTTTGCGATGTGGGACATCCTGTAACATTCTATAAAAATGCAATGTTCAAATCAAACAGCGACTTCTGAAGCCTAGAGGATGTAGAGGAAGGACTTAACTTTGAGAAACGTTTAGATAGAATTTCCATGAGTCTTGAGGACTCTCAAGATAGCCTTTTATCCATTTCCCTCTGGGTGTGTGTGTGTGTGTGTGTGTGTGTGTAACTTCCCCACTGGCTGGTCTAGGAGCAGTCACTTGAGGTTGTTTGGGTCCGGAATGGTTCCCATTTTTATCCAGCAGTGTGATGTGAGCCCCCCGGGTGTCCCTCTCAAGGGTGGGTGGTGGCCTTTCCTCCTCCCATAGTAGGCCCAGTTTGGACCATGGTTTTGCTTGGCAGAGAGGCCGGGCTGCTCATAGATCCAGAGAGGAACATTTCTGCCTTGGCACGCAGCTCGGGGTCAACAGGCCTGATAAACAGCCCATTTCCCAAGGCCTGCAAGGAACAAAGCCCTGGGCCGCTGAGGGCACTGTCTACTCCCCAACTCCTGAAGCAGCTGTTTATTCTTTTGACAGGAGTTGAAACCAGCACCTTCCCTTCCTGAGTCCTGCCTTCTCCTGCAGAAGCGAGCTCAAAAGAACTTTGCTGTTTTGCCTTTTACTCTGGCGTGAAAGCAGCAGACGATGAGGTATGTGAGATGGTGAAATGATTTGCTTCTGCCATGCTGGGGTCATGGGTGGATCCCCCTAAACACTCTCTGGTCCCTTCAGTAGTTTTGGAAGAGGACAAAGTCCTTCTCTCCAGCAGTGGATCTGGAAGCAGGATGCTGGCTCAGGGACTTACACTGTAAGTTCAGCTTTATCTTGCTCTGCCTGCCAGGACCTCACAGGGTTGCAGCCGCCAGCCGCTTGGAGTTTTTCCTGCAGGATTTAGGGTGTTAATACAGGGGCAGGGGGTGAGTCTTGGGGCCCAGGGGTGAAGTTATGGATGGAGGCAGAGCCCGCTCAGGATTGTGTAGCACCTTTCATTTATCTTACTTTGGTTCTCTGGGAAAAATCCTTGCACAGTGATTTCCAGACCAGCAGGGTGGAAAAGCTGGCCGGATCCAGCCTTTAGATTTCCCAAAGGGGATTTGAGAGAAAGCACTATGAGATATACTTCACAGAACAGGTTGTTCCGTTTGAGATGGCTGGAGCGATAGTGGGTTGTGTATTTAGTCTCAGACCTGTCTCTTATTTTCCTGTGTCTGTTTACTCTGACCCTTATAATGAAAAACATAACTGGAGACAAACTTCCATGCACTTCCCCCGCTTCCTTGTGAATTGCATCATGGGAGCCTTGCCTTGTAAGACCCAGCAGCTCACTGAGGTTTTAGGATAAGGCGGCATTCTCCCTCCTTAGGCCCAGCACCATCCCTATGCTAAGGGCTGGGGCTGGGAGGCAGGGGGTTCTGCATTTTATTATTTATTTATTTATTTATTTATTTGAGATGGAGTCTCGCTTTTGTTGCCCAGGCTGGAGTGCAGTGGTGTGATCTTGGCTCACTGCAACCTCCCTGGATTTGAAGCCTAAATCCACCATTTTATGCTGTGTGACACTGGGCAAGTTACTTCACCTTTCTGAGCCTCTGGGGTTTTTTTGTTTTGTTTTTTTTTGAGACGGAGTCTCCCTCTGTCATCAGGCTGGAGTGCAGTGGCACATTCTTGGCTTACTGCAACCTCCGACTCCCTGCTTCAAGTGATTCTCCTGCCTCAGCCTCCCAAGTAGCTGGGATTACAGGCACATGCCACCACACCTAGCTAACTTTTTTGTATTTTTAGTAGAGATGGGGTTTCACCATGTTGGCTGGAATGGTCTCAATCTCCTGACCTCGTGATCTGCCCGCCTCGGCCTTTCAAAGTGCTGGGATTACAGGCATGAGCCACCGCGCCCAGCCTCTGAGCCTCTGTTTTTATATCTGTAAAATGGGGATAACAATAGAGTAACTTCACAGGGTTGTCATGAGGCTTAACTAAGAGACTTCTGAAAAGGGGTTTAGCCCGGGGCCTGGCCTGGCCTGGCTTGACTGTGGAAAATCCAGGCATTGCAGGGCTTGAAGCTGATTCCATCTGGGGAGCCCTCTTTAAGAAAAAGAATGCAAAGTTGCAAATACAATGTTATAAATGGAAGTAAATAAATAAATATCTGGAATATGAGAAGAGACACCACAACAAATAACAAAGACTGACAAACACTCCAAATATAACAAAATCCAGAAAATGACGACATAATAAGATGATGTAAAAATAATACAAAAATGATTAGCATTACTTAACTGCCAGATGCCCCTGTCATGTTTTGGCTACATGCTGTTTGATTGCCATGTTATCTGACAACGGTTTTCTAGTATCATTTCCAATTAAAACACAAAAGAAAGATAATCAGTTTTTCCTGTGGCATGGTTAATCAATGGGTCCTTTTTACACCTGAGAGTTTAGGGGAGTATCTTTTAGCTTCCCCACTTATTACTGGCGATGCCACATCTGTAAGTTTTTTGACAGTTTCTCAGGTGGCTTCAGCCAGATCATGAGAAAACTCAGCCCTGGATCCTTGCTAGGCACAGTGAGGGAGCTGGACCTGGGTCTCGGATGGAACATGAGGTGTCTGTGAGACCTGGATCCTAGTGACCCCTGACCAGGGAGCTGGGAGAGCAGTGTGTAGTTCATCTCCTTCTCCTTGGGGCCGAAGGAAAAGGGGCCCAGGTGCTCAACAACCTTCACCTGGGACAGGTTGTTCCTGGGACCTACTGGGTGTGTAGCCCCCCAGCTGACTAATGGGTCAGCCCCGCAGCTCAGCCTGCAGCCCTGGACAGGCACTGAGGCTAGAGACTCACTCCCACAGGTAGGCAGCACACTTTATCCCTGAGAAGGTTTGAGTTTTCTCATGCCCACCCTAATGGGAAATCAGGCCCTGTCTTGCAAGGGGGTCTGTGCACGTGAGTACCCTGACACCTGAGCCTCATCAGCTCCTGGTAAGTCAGCCTCTGCACTCAATGCACATTGGTTGGTGGTTCCTCTGCATGATCCAAGCCAAAGACTGAGAAGTGATAGTTGATGAATCCTATCATTTGATCGTCACACTAAGGAGCCTGCGTAGGTCACTGCAGCAGGGTGAGCTTTATGTGGCTAAAAGAAATGCCCTCTTGAAACCACAAGGTTTCCAGCCTTGAGGCTGATTTCTCATCCACATTCTGGGTCCATCAGAGAAGCCTACTGGAGAATCTTAGCTCCAAAGGACTTGTTTCAGGGATGAGGAGACTAAAGCCAGAAAAATTTGTGACCCCAGTTTAGAAAGCTGGCCCTTTGTTGGCAGTGGGGCTGACCCACAGGACTGTGACAAGGCTGGGGGCAGGGGTGGGGCAGGGCCAGGGCAAGGCCGGGGCAGGGTGGGATGCGAATGTTGGAGCAGCCGGTCTGGTCAGAGCTGTGTTTCCGGGGTAGAGTGGGGTGTGGAGCTGTCTTTATCACAGCACATGGAGTGTGGACTTGCCCCTGACAGTTCTGAGAGGTGCTGCCCATCAAGATTCCTCTCTCAGATGAACTCACAGCCTTGCTTTCACACCAAGCCCTGAGCTATGCATTCCTGAATCTCTCCCATTAAAAAGCATTGTCATTAATATAGGTACTGTGTGTGGAGCATTAACAGACCATGGGCATTAACAGCCCGTGGGCACAGTGTGCTTACAAGAACCCTTTGAGGAGGGTGTTAGAATCTCCACTTTGTATGTGGAAATAGAGGCTCAGAGAGTTGAAGTAGCTTGCTCAAGGTGTACATCTAGGACTCTGCTGATTTAAGAGTCTTTGTACTTCACCTAATTTTTACCTGGAATGCTGGAGCTGAACACTCTCCTTTATAATCAAGGATATGGAGGACTAAAGACTAGAGTCTTGTCCAAGGTCATTAACACCCAGTTAATTACTGCACCCTTCCCCATCCCCTCACCTGTTTTCCTTCTCTTGGCAACACTGTCACTACCTGACATTATATATCCTGTTGAGTCTCTTGACTCCCATTGGAACAGAAGCTCTATGATAATCTTGTTCACTAAAGCATCTCCCCAGAAACCATCTGGTGCACAGTAGCCTAGTTCCATGTTTGTTGATGAATTCGTGGCAGAGCAGAAGGAGCGCCTCAGAGCTCTCCTTGCTCATTTGTTCACCCCAAACACTTGTGTTACAGGAAAGGGGTCTGGATTCAGACCCCAAGAGAGGGTTCTTGGATCTTACTCGAGAGAATTGAGGGCAAATCTGTAAAGTGAAAGCAAATTTATGAGGAAAGTAGAGGAATAAGAGAAAGGCTACTCCATAGGCAGAGCAGCCCTGAGGGCTGCTGGTTGCCCATTGTTATGGTTATTTCTTGATTATATGCTAAACAAGGGGTGGATTATTCATGGCTCCCCTTTTGAGACCACATAGGGTAACTTCCTGATGTTGCTGTGGCATTTGTAAACTGACATGGTGCTGGTGGGAGTGTAGCAGTGAGGACAATCAGAGGTCAGTCTCATCGCCATCTTGGTTTTGGTGGGTTTTAACTGGCTTCTTTACTGCAACCTGTTTTATCAGCAAGGTCTTTATGTCCTGTATCTTGTGGTGATTGCCTGACTTATCCTGTGACTTAGAATGCCTTAACCGTCTGGGAATGCAGCCCAGTGGGTCTCAGCCTTATTTTACCCAGCTCCCATTCAAGATGGCATTGCTGTGGTTCAAACGGCTCTGACACTTGGGATGCACCTACTGGAAGCCAGGGCCCATGCCAGTCTGGACCCATCACAATAGCCTGAAACTGATTAAGGCTCAAGAGGGAGGAGGGGTGGGTTCTAAGGGCCTGGTGTAGGAATCTCAGGCTCAGAGGAGAATTCTTTAGCCTACAAAGAGGTGGAGCCTGCGGGGAAGGCTTGGTTTCCCCTGCCACCACTTTCACCCTGCTGGATTCCTGCTCTCCGAGATAATGGCTTTTCCATGGCCTCTGAGTGCACGGCCATTCAGCTGAGAGGTTTACCTTTTCCCCTGGCATGAGATGGAGAAAACAGGGTCTGCTAGAACTCCTTTCAGAGTGGTATTCTGTTTGGAAGGAACACCTTGACTTCGCCCAATTGGGGAGGAACTGTGAGATTCTCTGAGGGTGTGTGTGTGTGTTGTTCTGTGTGAGAAGGACTGGAGGTGGGTGGTAGGGAAGAATTCATTTATGGGCCATATGGAAAAGTCTGTCTGACACTCCAGGGAAACAGAAGCAGAAAAGGAGGAGGGTGAGGGTGGAGTGAGGAAGGTGGAGAAATGACAGGCTATACAAAGTGACCCTGCCTTGCAAAATGCCTCTACATTCTTAGCATAATCTGCACACGTTCCAGGAATGGGGGTGAGAGTGGCTGCATTTGGGAAGCAGTGCAGGTGCTGAGTTCTGGTTAACTGAGTTCTACAAATGGCCTGGGGCCATAGGATGGGTTCAGAGAGAAAGTACACAAGTATTAGGGCAGAAGGTCTGAGAGATGGCAGGAGGGCTCTGGACCACTGCAGGCTGTGCAGTTGGGGCTGTCCAAGTTCACCCAGTCCTCTAAGGCGTGGGACCCAGGGGACATCATGGTTCCACTCTCCCACTTAAGACAGGGTGTTAATACTTGGCAGATCCTAATTCTGTGCCCCAGCCCTTGAA